GTTAATAATGTATTAATAAATATATTTTGTAATTAGTTTATTATATTAATTTATTAATTATTAGCACAGATTAGTTTTAAATAGTATTAAAGATTTAAATCAGCATTTATTTTGATTGGCTAACTAGTTTCAGAAGGTTTCACTAATATCGTCCAATTTCACCAATTTTGTCTTAGTTTTAGATTATCAGAAAGTTTTAGATTTTATTTCTTGAAAGCTGAAATGTTTCGACTTTAAGATTTTGGTTTCGCCCACAACTTTATATAATAGTGAACTTGCTAGATATCTAATTTTTTTATCCTCATTTGTATGAAGTAGCTCTACTTTCATGTGCTTACAAATATTCTCTATCTGTTTACCAAAGACAGCATTATTTTTTACTTTATAATATATAATCCTAAACTCATCTCTATTAGCCTTAACTATTTTACGCTTGCGAATGTTTTTCTCAATATAGTCTTTCATTCAAGGAAACTATTAGAACTTTAGAGTACCATGAATTTTTGTAATTTTCATTTCAAACCTTATATATGTTTGGTGAGCTCGATAATGTATCACATATTTCTTCTTAGTATAAAGGGTCTGAAGTAACTTCTTTCCAGACACATATTTTCTATTTACAACTTCTTTATCATATACTAATCTTTATTATATAAGCTAAGCCAGTTTTCTGGTACTACCAGCTTTTCTAGCGCTAAAGGATAATCTGTAAAGAAGTTATGTAAATGTAATGGAATTTCTAAGTTATCCTCATATATGATCCAAGTATTTAGCTTGCTAGGATTATAATCAGGACATTATGAATTATTTGCTTTGTTATATTAATGACTTGCCATTGTCATATCTCCACAAATATCATTTTCAACTATTAGATATTCGTCCATATTTATCATGAGCTTAAGTTTTGCCCTGCTACTTTTGTATAAAGAATCATTAAACATTTCAGGTGTAGAGATGTAGTAAGATGGATCTAGATCATCATCTTTGAGATACATTATGGCGTAATTCATGAATACGTCAGCAAGCAAAAGTACATCAGTTTCGAGATAAAGGTCATAGTATTTTCCAAAGTTTTTCATCTCGAATATTTGTCATATTTCTTGCGCATATCTATAATCTTCCTTACTAATATTTTTTTGACTAAAAAGTGAATAAAAATCTTTTCTTGAAAGAAGCTTTATTCTATCGAATTTATTTCAGGAGTTATTCCAGTTATAAGGAAAGATACCCTTTCAGAAAAGAAGCTTAATTTTATCTATACTATATCCTTTCTCTGTAAACTACTTAACAGTTAAGGAAATATTTTCGATCTTTCCTCCTATATATTCTACTAACTTATCAAGACTCATGCTCATGTGTTAAAACCTATCTAAGAATCAAAGTTGACTTACGTCTATAGTTTTGTACTTTCCTATATTTTCTGCGATCCATTTTATCTTATCAGCTATGAATTTGCTTATAACTTTTATAAGTAGATGTGAGTCATATCCTCAAAAATTATGACAGATTAGTGATACTTTAGTTTAAAAGAACCTATTCATAACTTTTTGTTATAAGCATTATGAGCAGGATTACGATACTTTCCATTTATATGATCAAGATCTTTCACCTTACAATTGAGCCTACTTAAAGCTTCTCAGTATTCTTTTTGTATCTTTTTCTTTTCTGAATGGTCTTCTCTTATAATTGCCTCCCATTTATTGACTTCTAGTAATATGTATTTAGTTTCTTCGAAGTTTTGCAATGCTTTTGAAAATAGTTTTAAAAAAGGTTTCTAGCAAATCTAGCATTCAGTTATTTTATTGTATTCTTTAAGATCTCTAGGTGTCAGGATTATTTCAGCTGATGCTAATAAATCTTTCTGGATGATTAAAAGCTCCTCTTCTATTTTTGTAACAAATCTTTCTAGTGTATCTGACCTTCTATATAAATCATGACTCGTAATCTCATAGTTAAGTAAACTGTTCATACAAATAACTACATAGCTATAACTAAGGTTCCTTAAAATCGAATTGAATCAAATATTTAAGCAATTTGAATTTGATTTGATTTTTTCAAATCGAATCAAATCAAATCAAATTGAACTCAAAT